AGTTCAAATTTTTCCCACCACTTGTAAATGTGGCTTATTTCATTTAAACAATAAGATTGAAATAAGTAGCCGGGCGTGGTGGCACAGGTCTTTAATACCAGTGCTGGGAGGCAGAAGCAGGCAGATCTCTGTGAGTTCAAGGCCAGCCCAGACTATAGTTCCAGGCAAACCAGAGCTGCATAGTGAGACCCTAAGGGTGGAAAAAAAAGATTGAGCTAAGTAATGCTATACTCATTTTATAGATAAGTGACTAGAGGGAACTACACATTCTCTACCTGGTAAGTTGGGCCAAGGGGTAGTATCTAAAGAGAGAGGAACCACAAAGACTCAGTATCTCATTAAATGGCTCAGGCTGTGACAGAATGAGAATCACCTAGGTCCAGTGACAAAGAGGCCTACTGGAGTTGCACTTATAGATCACTCAATGATATTTGATGGATCACAGAATGCTTGTACAAAGGACCTATCTTTGTTACCAAGGTAGTGGTTCTTTGCTTTTCTTTAGAAAATCACCCAGCAAATATGATGCCTGTTAGTATCTTTGTTTCCTCCATTCAAACTATTTTGGGTAGACAATATCATATTAAAAACTCAGATTCTAAGCCATAGGTGGTGGGTGGTGCATGCATTTAGTCCCAGCACTCGGGAGGCAGAGACAGGTGAATCTCTGAGAGATTAAGGCCAGCCTGGTCTACATAGCAAGTCCCAGGCCAGCTGGGGCTACAGGGAGACCCTGTAGAAGACCCTGTAAGAAGCCTCTGAAACTGGCAAAGGTCTTGAATGGTTGAGAAGTATGGGATGGAGGGGAGGCATAGATGGGCAGATTCCAGGAGCTCATTAGCCAGCTAGGCAGTCCAGGTTCAATGAGAAATCCTGTCTCAAAAAATAAGTAAAATAAAGCCAGGCATGGTAGCACATGCCTTTAATCCCAGCACTTGGGAGGCAGAGACAGGTGGATCTCTGTGAGTTCAAGTCCAGCCTGGTCTACATAGAGAGTTCCAGACCAGCTGGGGCTACAGGGAGACCCTGTCCCCCAAAAAAATCCAAAAATAAATAAAATAACACAGACTGTGATAGACATGTGACTTTGCATGAATGAGCATACACACACACACATACACACAAGGACAGAATGAGAGAAGGTAAAGATTTGAATTGGGGCTGCATTACTGCATACTGGGCAAAAATAAGGCTTGAGCCAAGAAAATGGAAGCAACTAGAAAAGAGGTACAGGTTGATGCAATGTGGTAATTCTGGGAGACAGAGCAATGCAGCCAAAAGCAAAACCAATGGTGACACTACTCATCAAACCTAGGGATCAGGGAGCGAACATAGGTGAGGTACATCAATAAAGATGCTCAAAGCTGGACATGATGACACATTTCTTTAATTCCAGCACTTGGGAGACAGAGGCACACTCTGTGAGTTTGAGGCTAGCCTGATTTATGCTGTATCAAGCCAGCCAGTGCTATATACTGAGACCCTGTCTCGAACAATAAGATGCTAAATATGAAGTTCAAGAGCTTGTAAAACATTTATGTGGATTGGTACAGTAGGTCAAGCAATAGGTATAAAACTTAGAGTGGTGGCTGCAGAGATGTCTTGGCGGTTAAGAGCACTGACTGCTCTTGCAGAGGACCTGAGCTTGATTCCCATCACCCACATGGCAGCTATGAACCATCCCTAACTCCAGTTCAAGGGAAATTCAATGCCCTCTTTTGACCTCCACAGCATTGCATGACATGGTACACTCACATACATGCAGGTAATACACTCATACACATAAAATTAAAATAATAAATAATAAATATTTTAAAAACTTAGAGTGGCCACTACATAAATAAAATCTTCAAGGGTAATAACTGAAATTGCATATTTTTATATTTAGGAAGTTAATATAGTACTAAAAAAACATTAAGGGCTAAAATTGCAGGTCAGTGGCGGAGCACTTGCCCACATGCTTCATATACAATGAATTGGAACCTTGGAAAATGATAGTTATGAGAAAGACAAGGTATTTTAGAAGTTGATGTGGACAGTAGAACCAGAGAGAGACAAAAGGACAAAGAAACAATGTCCTACGGAATCACTGGTCAATAAATTAAGAAGAGATCTATGCAAGGGGCATGAGTTTAAAGTTGAGCAGGTACTTTTTAAATTTATTATATTTTTATTTATTTGTGTATATATGCATATTATGTAGGGAAGGACATGGGTAGAGGTCAGAGAACAATTGTAGGCATCAGCTCTCTCCTTCCACCATGTGGGTACTGGGGATCAAACTCAGGTTCTCAGGTTTGGCAGCAAGTACCTTTTTACCTGCTGAGCCATTTCACCAGCCCCCTGAGCAGGTATAAACAATTTCTGGGAGGATTACGAGATGACAGAACTCAACAAGGTATAGACATTACTCAGGCCTGATGGACAGGCCTGTAATCCCAGCTACTCTGGAGGAGAAGACAGAAAGAATACAAGTTCAAAGCCAGTCTGGTCAATTCAGTGAGACCCTACCTCAAAATATTAAAAAATAATTTTTAAAGTTGTGTGTGGCAAGACACCACATAAATAGAAAACAGGCTAAAGTATGTCAGTTATTCTTAGGAGCTTGTGAAAAGAAAAAGGAAAAAGACACGAAGGAGAAGGAATACTTGAGACTCCTGGGTTGCCAGGGCTACTACTCTTTTCTTCCCAAGCAGTTCGCTCATAGCTGAGCATGTCAGGAATAATAGCTATGAATCCGTTTATTTCCTAACAAATCATAAAACTCCAGTCCAAAATGTCCATCTGGGAAGAGAGGTACGTGATCTCTTAGCAGACACAAATTTTGCATCAGCTGACAAAGGTTCGTACCGAGGCATAAACTATAAACTTCTACCCCAAACAAAACAATACCCCGCCCCCTCTAATTTTTGTAAGATGGAAGACTTGCGCAGGTGTAGAGCTGCCTTCCCAAACTGTGCCCAGAGCCCTGATTCAGACCAGCCTGCTTTAGACTGAGAGTGCTCGGCTCCTGCCGGGCCCAGTTGCTCCAGTGATACCAGGATGCCAAGGCTCTGCTGGCCACGGCCTTCCGCGGTGACATCCAGTCCGGCACCGGTGGATAAGGGACGCCAGCAATCTGGACGTCCTCAGCCCTGCCCGCGGCCCCTAGGACAGCCGCAATCATCCTCCATTACTCTTTCCGCGTCCCACCGCCTCTGCCTCGGGGAAAATGAAACCCAGCGCTTTCACGCTGAGGCGAAGAGGTGGGATCTTCTATCTTCTCAGTCGCCAAAGAGAAATGGCAGAACCTACTTCAAAGTGACTGCAAAGGGGTGTGTAGTCTGGGCCAGGTCGCCCAGGCCCCGCCCCTCGCCACCTCCTACTCGGCCCGCCCTCCCAGGGGCCAGGAACTACACTTCCCAGAGGCCTCTGCGGCTCTAGGGGTGGGACCAAACGCAATCCGTCTCTCACTAAGCGAGGACTGGCTGTCTAGGAGAGGGGCGGGGCTTGTCACAGCCAGTAGGCGAGAGGCTCGTTACGGCGGCGGAAGCAGCGGCGCTGGAGTGAGGGGTGGGGGAACAGAGTGCTATCGCCCTAGCAGTGGCTGCGGGTCCTGAGCCGAAGACCATCGGCCCCATAAGCGGAGAGCGAACAGGAGCGAGCTCGAGGTGGCGTGGCGGCCACTCGGCACAGCACCCTGGTAATGGCGGGACGAGAGCGGGAGGGAAGGGGAGGAGACGAGGGGCGGGGCGGCGGAGGCAGCCTACAGCGTCTGTCTCGCTGCGCGGCCCCGGCGAAGGGCAGAGGCGCCTGGCTCTTGCTGCTCTGACTCCGGCTCTTTCGCGAGCTGGGAAGGGCGGTTGAGTCTGCGGCAGGAGCCGGGTGTCCTGTGCGAGGAAGAGAGAGAGACACCGAGAGGGGGTGGGCTGCCCCGAGCGTGGGGGCGTGGCGGCCCCGGGCTTTGGCTGGGAAGCCAAGCGGCCGAGGCAGCCTGGGCGGGCGGGCGGTCGGGCGGCTGGCCCAGAGAGTTTGGCTCCTGGAGCAGTTTAAAGTGACTCTCCACATCCGGGCCCTGCGCCCGCCGCTTTCAGATCCCGGCCGAGGCGGGGCCTCCCGGATCTCCGCCCCTCTTGCCCGGGATCGCCTGTCTTTCCCTTCTATTGGCTCAGCCCCGAGGGGTTTAGGCTCCCGCCTCCTGCCCTCGGAGAGACTGGCGTTTCATTGGCTTGCGGTCGGCGGGTGGGTGGGGCGGGTCCAGAACGCGCAGGCCCGCTGTGGATTGGTGTTGGGCCTCCAGTGACGCGCCGGGCGTCTGGCCAATGGGCGGGCGGGGGCGTGGGGGGAGGACTGGGAACCCAGCGGCGGCCGGGCTCTGGGGTGAGTGTGCCCGGCAGGCTGGACAGCGGCGGGCCCCAGTTCCAGATCGAGTCCCCTCCGGAGCCCGGTGCTGACCCGGGCCATTCACGGCGCCTCTAGGCTGGCGAGATGGAAGCGGGAGGGGCGGGCGGTGGCCACAGGTAAAGAGGCACACTGCTTATCTTGCCAAAGGGGCTCTGTCGAACGCTTTCCTGGGGAGACCGAGCTCGGGCACCCGGACTGTCTGGAAACGTGTGTCCTCGCATCTCGGCGGGGGATAGGGGTTGGCAGGGGTAGAAGACGGATTGGGAAAGGTCGGAGGAGCTTGACTCCAAAAGTGGAGGGCAATTTCAGAGATGGTGGAGAAGGTCTTGGGTCCTCCCCCTGTCTCAGGGTGGGGGTGGGGATGAGGGAAAAAGGCAATCCTTAAATGGAGGCCTTTACGGAAAAGCGTTTGAAGATTCCTCAAGCATCAGGTCTTAATGTAAGATTTCTGATCCTATCTTGGGGCTGAGCATTATGACATACTAATTAAGGTTCTGTTAACCTTCGTGTGAGGTTTGTTTTTTTCAAAGAGACATATTGTTTTCCACGAAACTTTACATAGGTAATATATGCCTTATGGTAATACCTAGCATTTAACTGCTGTAAAAGATTCAGTATCCATTGTTTAACAGAGCAATCTATAAATATTTGGGGGCAGTTATAGTATCTCCCAACACTTGTGTAAATGCTGTCATTATTTTAAACTGTGTGCATTAAAAAGCCATCAATTAGATGTCTGCACCATTGATCACAACTCATTGTTTTAAATGAATAATGCTGTATTTGTTTTTCTGAGAGAAGATGCTATGAGGACTAAAGATGTTTGGATCTCTTAATGTTGGTTCTCATTTCAGAATCTGGTAATAACTGCATGTCTGTGTATTGCAGGTGGAAATGAGTTCTCAGCAGTTTCCTCGGTTAGGAACCCCTTCCACTGGGCTTAGCCAGGCACCTTCACAGATTGCAAACAGTGGTTCTGCCGGGTTGATAAACCCAGTTCCCACAGGTGAGATGTGTCATAGTCTTTTGTATTGTTTCCTGTTTTAAGCATATTACATCAAATTAGCAAATTCCTTCTAGGATTCTGGTAATTACTAGCTTATTGACTTTGAAGAAAGGGTGTATTACTACACTTTTTAAGTGAGGCATTTTCCCTCCTGTTCTAGCTACTTCATTTATATTTGGGCATATGTACAACTTAGTAAATTGTACTTATAAAAACAATTTTTAAATGCTTTAATATGTTATTAATTAACTCTCAAAGGTCTGGTAATAGTTCCATGATGGACCCCAACAGTGTGTGTGGTAGTTTTGTTCATAGAATCTTACTGTCTAGGAAGAGAGGTGTAAGTGTACGTGCATGTATGTGTGTATGTATGTATGTATAAGTCTGTGTGCATGTGTGTTTGGAGGCCAGAGGTCAACATCAGATATCCTTCCCCAGGAGCTGTCTACCTTGTTTTTTGATACAGAGTCTCTCACTGAGACCAGTGCTCTCCAATTAGGATAAGCTGACAAGCACTTTACTGATTGAGCTGTTTTTCTGGCCCTGGAAAAGAGGGTTTAAAAGAATTTATACACATATCTGCAACTTGGTTTTTACTTTTTGTTTTTCCTTTGACTGCTGAAGATTGATTCTCAGTGGTGGGTCATTTTGCCTGTAATGGCATATTTGGCAATGTCTAGAGACAATTTTGGTTGTCGCAACTAGAAAATGCTTTTAGATTCTTACAGAATGCTAAACACCCTAAAATGCACCAGGCAGCCCCCTCCCACTCTCAAAATGAAGAATTATTGAAGCCAGTCAGCAGCACTGAAGTTGATGAACTCCTTCAAATACTGCTTTCCCTATACAGTAAAAAGATGGTGTTGCAAGTTAATAAAATCCCTTTCCTGTTCTTCCTTACCACCCAGTTCTTGTGTTCTTTATGGCAGAAGCCACCACTGTTTTTCCATTGCTCAAACTGAGCATCTTGAGTAGTAATCTCGCTCTCTCCCTCCCTCCCTCCCCCCTCTCTCTCCCTCCCTCCATTTCAATACATACATTAAAAAAAATGAAGAATTTCATACAATATATTTTGATAACACCTCCCCCCCTCCCCCCTCTCCCTCTCTCCCTCTCTCCCAGCCTCCCTCTCTCAGCATTGTCTCATTACATAGCCTAAGCTGGCCTCAAACTCTTGATCTTCCCATCTCAGCCACTGGACTGCTGGAATCATAAGTGTGCCCACCTTGCCCAGCTGATTCTGTCTCTTACCTATGAGCTATAACTTTTGTATAATGTTTCAGGCTCATTTCTGTTGCTTTGCCTACTTTCTGCTTAGTTTTGAATTCAAATTTATTTTCGTTCTTTAGTTACTTCAAGCTGTTTATGCCTGCTCCTAGACAGGCATTATTTTTCTGCATGAGTTTTGTAAAGTTTCCAGTTTTCATGACTCTCAGATTTTACACATCTTTTCCTGTGCCACAGCCTTTCATCTTCTGTGTTCAGTTATTTGGCTAATTGTTCTTTGAGGTTTTATATTAGATATCATTTTCTCTAGATGTCTGTGCTGACTTTATGCTACATGAAAGCCAGGGCCTTGTGTGTCTCACCCTTGTATATGCAATACTTGCTATAGTGCAGAGCATAAGTTTGTAGTTACCAACCCCTTGGAGAGCCAACTAAGTTTTTTTATTCTTTGTCAGACATAGTGGTGCATACCTATAATCCCAGCACTTGGGTGGTTGAAGAAAGGATCCAGAGTTTAAGGCTATGTAGCCAGGTTAGGTTACATAGCAGGTTTGAGGCCAACCTGGGCTACACAAGACTCTGATCCAACTCTCCCACCCAAAGTTCTTCATTCCTTAACATAGATTTTTGAAAATATTTTACTTTTGGCATAAATTCACAACAGAGTAAAGAGATGGAGCTAAGACTGTCTTTTGTTTGGGATATTTTTTTTAATCAGGAAAGAAATGAGAGTTTTCCTTATAGAAAAAAACAAAAGATTATCTTCAGAGTTTTGCAGGGTGAACTCTTCTCTAGACATATATTGTAGTTTATTCTCATACTCTTATATTCTTTCCACACATTTCAAGACCTAGCTCAAATCTTAATTGCTTTGTGAAATTTTTCATGAACAATCACCTGAATGTAATATTTTCCTTTTCATCTTCCAAATCAATATTTTCTTGTCCTTTTTTTCTTAAGCAAACCAAGTGGAATTAACTGGTCCAAGATGACTTGAAAGCTCCATGGTTATCAGGAATCCAAGTTTCTTCTTTTTATAGGAACTGGTGATGCAGCTTGCTTGACAGAGTTCTCACCTTAGCATGCTGAGACCCTGGTTCCATCCCTTGCACTACATAAATGGGGTATGATGATACATGCTTGTAATCTCAGCTCGTAGAAGGTAGAGGCACAAGGATCAGAAGTTCATGATCATTCTTGACTACATACTGAATTCGAGACTGTCCTGAATTATATGCAACCCTGTCAGAGAAAGGAGGAGAAAGGGAGAAGAGAGAAAGTCTTCCCCCTAAATAGTTACATGTCTCTCTGTTTCAGTATTACTCGAGTCACAAAAGATTATTTGGGGTTGTAAGCATGCCAGTGTATGTTCAAGTATATGTTCAAGGTTAAGAAGTATAGATAACTAGGCCAGTAGTCCAGGTCTTTAATTCCAGCACTTAGGAGGTAGAGGCAGGTGACTCTTGTGAATTTGAGACCTGGTCTTCATAGTCAGTTCTAGGCCAGCCAGGGCTCCATAGTGAGACCTTGTCTCAAAAACAAAACCAAAAAAAAAATTTTTTTATATATATAAAATGCTTAGAATTCTTTTTTGTTAAGTGTCTGCAAAGTAGGATTGGGGTATAGGCTTATCATATATAAAGCTCTGGGTTTGAGCTCTAGCAGCTCCCTGCTAAAAAAGGATTGAAATAAGTCCAAATTTCTGCTGAAAAAGGATAAATGAGTTCCCAAAGAGCCTAGTGGAAAATGATTAATACATCCTATTTTAATAAAATTGTTAAAAAAAATAATAATAATAATCAGTCTACCTAGACCAAATAGGGTTGGGGAAAAACTAGGAAACTGCCCATTTTCTTAAAATTTTTTGTTAGGGAAAAATCATTTTGGACAGGAGGAAAGGTTAATATCAATAGACAATGGAAAGAAATAAAACTGCCTTTTATTCATAAACAGTATGATTTATATATATAGAAACGAAATTTGTTTTGCGACAGGGTCTCACTATGTAAACCCAGGCTGGCCTCAAACTCATAGATTTGCCTGCCTTTGCCTCCCAAGTGCTGGATAAAGGTATATGCGACCATACCTGGTGATTCAGAAAATCTTAATCTTTTAAAAAGCTATCAGAATAAGTGACATTAGTATAATTGTCCAAAAATCTATTATATGTCTAAATACTGGCAGTAAACAAATGTTTTCATGTTTGTAATTATGTGTGTGTTTGTGTGGTTGTGTACATATGTGTACAAGTACATGTGGAAACCAAAAGTCGAATGTCTTTCTTTCTAATTTTTTTGTCTTATTATTTTTATTTTATATGTACAAATATTTGACCTGCATCTTTGAAAGTGCACCCATGTTGTACAGTGCCTGTGGAGAACAGAAAAGGGCATTGAATCCCATGGAACTGGAGTTAGGGACAGTTATTAGCTGCCATGTGGATGCTGGGAACCAAACCTAAGTACCAACAACAGCTGGTACTCTCAACTCCTGAGCCTACTCTCCAGCCCCTAGAGTGTATTTCTTGGTCACTCTGTCATCTTTATTTACTTACTTTTTAATTCCTTTTTTTCCCCATCTTTATTTTTTTGAGACAGGGTCTCTCACTGAACTTGGAGCTCATCAGTTCATCTAGACTGACTAGCCAATGACCTTCAGGAATCTGCCTGCCTCTTCTCCCCCAAGTGCTGGAGTTACAGATATGTGCTGCCATTCATCTTTTTTGTGGGCACTGGGAATCCAAATTTGGGTCCCCAAGCTTATACGGCAAGCACTTTATTGACTGACCCATCTCCCTGGCCCCAACATGAGAGTTTTTTTGTTTTTTGTTTTTTGGTTTTTTTTTTTATCTTTCTGAGACAGGGTCTCCCTGTAGCCCCAGCTGTCTTAGAACTCGCTATGTAGACCAGGCTGGCCTTGAACTCAAAGAGATCTGCCTGCCTCTGCCTCCTGAGTGCTGGGACTAAAGGCGTGCACCACCACGCCCGGCAAGATTCTTTTTTTTTAGATACCATTTACAATTAGCATACCAAAAAAATGATAAGTGAGGGATAAATTTAAGAAAATGTATGTAAGACCTAGAGTTCACTATTGAACATTGCTGAGAGAAGTTAAAGAACTAGATAAATGAAAAGTCTTATGTTCACAAGTTGAAGTAGTTATCATTTCTCCCAATGTGATCTACAGATGCAAAGAAATCCTAATTAACATCCCAGCAAGCTTTTCTATAAAACTTGATGACCTGGTTCTAAAATTCATGTGGGAATCCAAAGGATTTAGGATTATTAAAGCAATTTTGACACCCCACCCCCAACAAAGAAAAGCATTACTGCCTTGTTTCACAACTCGTTGCAAAACCGCATTAATCAAGATGTATTGTCATAAAAATAGAACTATAGATCAGTAGATCACAGAGGACCCAGAAACAGTTGAAGATATATATGGCCAGTTGATCTTTTTTTTTTTAAGCAAGTGTGTAACAGAATAGGGAAATGAAATTAAACAAAATAGTGCCAAAACATCAGAATATTTACTTGTGTATATGTGTGTCTATTTCCCTCAAGCTTCAGACACATGTGAAGGTCAGAGAGCAGCTTTGCGGAACTGGTTCTCTCCTTCCACTTTGGAACCTAAAGACTAAACTTGAGTCATATAATGAACTTAGCCATCTGGTCAGCCCCCAAACACTAGAATATTCATATGGGGTAGGTAGGGAAATGGACCTTGACCCTTACCTTCTTCATACAAAAATTAATGTGTATCATAAACCAAAATATAAAGTTTTTAAATTTCTAAAAAGAAATATCCAAGAAAAAGTTCAACCTTGCAGTGGACAGAAATTGCTTAGGTCACAAAAAACACAAATTGCCAAAGAAGTGGCTGACATAAATTAAAAATGACTGTTCTTCAAAAGACACAACTATTTCAAAGGGTATGCCACAGACAAAGGGCATTTTCAATAAACGTTATCTGTAAGTACATATATACAAAGAACTTGATATATATAGCTTATAAAGGATTTGAATATATAAAGAACTCCATAATTCAGTAATAAAAGATAAACAGCCTAATTATTTTATTGTAAAAATATATTTGAAGCCAGGCGTGGTGGCGCACACCTGTAGTCCCAGCACTTGGGAGGCAGAGACAGGCAGATCTCTGTGAGTTCAAGGCCAGTCTGGTCGGATGTAATGCGGAGTAAAGGAAGTTGAAAGTGGGGTTGGATATAATCGAGATACATTGTATACATGTATAGGATTGTCAAAGAATAAATAAATAAAACTTCAGAGGGAGGACCACAAATAAAATTTTATATATATATTTGAATAGACACCTCACTAGAAAAATTACCTGAATACCAAAGAAATATATGAGAAGATGCTCACCATTTTTCATCCTAGGGCAATACAAATTAAAACTACAGTGAAAAACTACTGCACATCACTAGAATGACTGAATACCACATGTCAGCATGAATATGAAGCAGTAAAACTCATAAAATGTAGGAGAAAGGAAGCAAAATGGTTAGCCACTTTGGCAGTATCTTACAGAATCAAACATGCACTAACTCATAACTGACCAGTCCTTTTCCTTGAGTATTTAAGTCAGATGAAAGTACATACTTACCCAAAGATGTTTATAGAATCCATTCTTATTTTATGTGTATGAGTGTATTGCCTGCATATATGTGCACCTGTGTTGTGTAGTGCCCACAGAGGTCAGAAGAGGTTGGCAGATCCCCAGGAACTGGAGTTATGGACAGTTGTCAGCAGCCATGTAGGTGCTGGGAATTGAACCTGGATCCTCTACTAGAGCAGCCAGGGCTCTTTACTGCTGAAACATCTCTCTAATCACCATAGAATCTATTCTTAATAGCCAGAAACTGAGGATAACTCAAATTTTTATCCAGTGATGACTAGATAAACTGACTGTGCTCTATTTATGCAATGGACTGCTCTTGAGCTATACCAGGGGCCATCAGTATATACATAGACAGCATCATGGATGAATATCACTGCCGTAGTCTAAACTGTGGTTTAAATAATCTGGTTTGTAATAATTGTAAAAGTAGGAAACCAAACTCGGGACTACACTTTTGTCTATATTGCTATCTTAGTTAATCTGGGAAAACTGATATACCATTTCCCTCTTCACCAGTTAACGATGAGTCTGGCCGAGATGCCGATGTTGGTGCCAGGGAGCATGTGGGCCCTAGCAGCTCCCTGCCACCCCGGGAAGAGAAGCAGGAGCCAGTCGTGGTAAGACCCTATCCACAGGTCCAGATGCTGCCTGCACACCATGCCGTCGCGTCAGCCACTCCTGTCGCAGTGACAGCCCCACCAGCACACCTGACGCCAGCAGTGCCACTCTCTTTTTCCGAAGGACTTATGAAGGTAACAGAGAGGTTTAAAGTTTTGTACTGAACCGCAGCTGAAGGCAGATAGTATTTGTAGCAGTGCTAACAGACTCTCAGGCTGTGTCCTAAGGTCCTCCTTCGTCTTTCCTTTTTTATCCTGTCAGTTCAGTCTTCTCTGTAATTCCAAGCTCTGCTGTTCTGCAGTGACTAGACTGTGCTGGACTCTTGGCATCACAGGATCTTTTCTGTTAACCTTTTTTGTTGTGTTTTTTTGAGTGGTTTGTTTGTTTGTTTGTTTGTGGACATGGTCTCATTCTGTAGTCTAGGCTGGCCTCAAACTTGTGGCAGTCCTCTTGGCTCTGCCTCCCAGTTGCTGGCATTACAGGTGTGTGCCACCAAGCTTGACTCTTGCAGATTTTTATGTTGATGTTATTCAATTTATGGGCATGCTAAGTTAGTTTTATCTTGGAGTGGTGCTCTTCTCTAAGGTTTACTTAGTAGCTGACTAATTTTGGGATGTCTGAGCATGTTGCTTATGTGTTATCATGGGATTTATGTATCAGTTATTGGGAATCTGGTTTACTTCTGCCCAAACTTAGGTAGCAGGATTATTTAGTAGAGGGCATGGAATATGAGCAGTACTGATCTCGGCTTTATTCCCAGTTGTGCTTTGATCTGTCCATGTGGCCCTGAGCAAGATGTTTAGCCTTACATTTCTTCCTGTATACAGTGAAAATACTAGCACTTCAGTAGACGTACCAGGATACTGACAGATGAGCCACATAATACGGCATCTTTTCTGCCATTCTCAAAATTTGATTTGTGTTCTTCTAACTGTAGAGTAAAATGCATCACTAGAGCAAGGTATTGACATGTTTCCTGTGGTTTTCTGTTTGCAGCCGCCCCCGAAGCCCACCATGCCTAGCCGCCCCATTGCTCCTGCTCCACCTTCTACCTTGTCACTTCCCCCCAAGGTTCCAGGACAAGTTACTGTTACCATGGAGAGCAGTATCCCTCAAGCTTCAGCCATTCCTGTCGCAACAATCAGTGGACAACAGGTTTTTTTTTTCCCTCTTAATTTGCTAATTTTCTAACTGCAGCCAAACTGTTGATCATCATGTATTTAATGCCACTATCCTAAATAAAAAGTAAAGTCACTGACATCTGTAAAGAGAAGATAGTAACACTGAAATAGAAAGAGGGCATAAAAGCCAGGCTGCATAGTGGCTGGATAGGCTGTGTTTCCAGAGCACCAGCTATGTGCCAGGCACCACCTTCATTATAAAATGCAAATAAGGTCATGAGCATCCATGTTCTTGAGGAACTCTAGTCCAGTGCATCCTAAGTTACAGGAAGACAGTGCTGAAGGGTGAGAACACCTCACCGCAGTAGTGTAGGCAGTGCTCTAGATTTTCTTCAAGGACAGCAGATGTACATCTAGGCCCTGACAGGTTCCCTCAGGCAGCTCTCTCTGCTGTGGGCGTTTATGGTGAAGTCTCCTGTTTTTGCTTTAAAAAAAAATTTTTTTTTGCTCTTTTTGAGAAAGGGTATCCCTGTAGCCCCAGCTTTCCTGGAACTCACTATGTAGACCGGGCTGGCCTTGAACTCACAGAGATCCGCCTGCCTCTCCCTCCCAAGTGCTGGGATTAAAGGCGTGAGCTCCCACGCCCAGCTTAAAAAATTTTTTTAAGTATTAGTCTTGCTCCATTATATGTATTTGACTTACTGAATACCTTAAATTATAATACCTGTGGGGAAACTAAATCTCAATACTTAATTCCTTTATGTTTTCAAGAAAAATTTATATTCCCAAAAGATGCCCTGTGTTGTTTTCCTTTTAAGAGCCTCCTGAGTAATCTCAGAAATATGGAAGTCTTCACCTGAGAAGCCCCGATATCACAGGGTTGGAATGCTCATGGAATGAGCTGAAAAAATTGAAGGCAGCACCTGTTGGATGCTAACTGACATGTATTTAGAAACCCTCAATGATAGAGAATAGTGGCTGTAAAGACCTATAAAGGAAATAGGAGGGAAAATAAGCCCATCACCAGAAAAGAGAAAATAAGTATGAAAGACTACTGTTACAGTTGTGAGTTACTAAAAGTAGGTAGTCAAATAGGTTGTCTAGGACTGGGATCTAGCAACTAGGAGGGTCTGCTGGAGTTTAGTCATTTCTGACATGCTTGTTGTCAGGGTTATTAGAGAGAGAGAGAGTAGGTGAAACTATAGCTAAGTGTTCTCAGCTCTTTTCCTTGGGGTACTCACTATCCAACAGATGAGACTGGTGTTACAGTTTTCAGGGTGGTATAACTGTAGACTACTTGCTAGCTGAAAAAATGACCTGGAAATGTAGTTCGGTGGTAGAGCACTTGACTTGAATACATGCATAAAACCCTGGGTTCAATCACTAAAACATCAAAAAGGAGAAAAAAAACAACTGGACCCAATTTGGAGGGAACTGACTTCTACAGTCAATAGCTAAGAGCATATCTATTAAGAGGACATTCTATCCCATTTCTTACAGGGACATCCCAGCAACCTGCATCACATTATGACCACAAACGTTCAGATGTCCATTATCCGCAGCAATGCTCCAGGGCCCCCTCTTCACATTGGAGCTTCCCATTTACCTCGAGGTAACAACTGCACATTTTGCTCAAACTCTGGAACTACAATGATAGATACACATTTGGAAGAAGATAGGCTAACAATGTATGCAGAATTCACCTAAAGTTGCAGAGCAGTAGAGATAAACTTAAACTAATAATTTTTTTGAGGCAGGAAGGATCCCAACTATGTAGACCAGGCTGACCTCAAACTCATAGTGATCTGCCTGCCTCTGCTTCTGACACTTCTGACACTGAGATTAAAGGTGTTCATCACCATATCCAACATGTAATACATATTTGTTTTAGGTTTTGTTTTTTGAGACAGGGTCTCCCTCTAGCCCCCAACTGACCTGGAATTCATTATGTAGACCAGGCCGACCTTGACCTTGTTATCCTCCTGCACCTGCCTAAGTGCTAAAATTACAAGTGTGTGCTACCATTCCCTGCTGTTTGTTTTGTTTTGTAATAGGATCTTGCTATGTAACCCTGGCTGGCCTAGAACTTGATAGGTAGACCATGCCAGCCTCAAACTTACAGTAATCCTCCTGCCTCTGCCTCCCAAGTGCTGGGATTACATGTATGTGCCACCACACCTGGCTTCTAATGTTTTTTTAAGTTTACTGATAATTTTTATTAAAATTTTAACATTCGTTGCAATAAGATTAATTCTTATAGTTCTAATAAATCATGATAAATTGAAGTACATTTCACCTATTAAAATGTCAAACAGTTGGAGATTGTTAACAGAATTCAAGCTAACAAGACTTAGGTTTGCTCAGTCATAGCATAACCAGTGATTTCCAACATGTTGTTCACTGGCTTTTTCAGGGGGTCTATATTTCAGAGCTATCTTGGTGAAAATGTTAAGACACACTGTCGATATCTGCACTAATAGAACAAAAAAGGTGGGGTGGGTAAGGTGGTGTGTCACTGGTGGTTAAAGTGCTCAAGCCTTAGAATCTAGACAGTGGCACCAAGCAGACTGCTAATTAATTGTGTACGTCCTACTTGCAGTTTGTGTGTGTGTGTGTGTGTGTGTGTGTGTGTATGAAAACAAAAAACAGTAGTTCAACCCTGAATACACATTTTCCTAGTTTTATCTGTGATGAAATGGGACGTATATATAACTTTTGAGTCTGTAGGCCATACTAATAAAAAAAAATTTTTTTCAGGCGCAGCTGCCGCCGCTGTGATGTCCAGTTCTAAAGTAACCACAGTCCTGAGACCAACTTCACAGTTGCCAAATGCTGCTACAGCACAGCCAGCCGTGCAGCACCTCATTCACCAGCCAATTCAGGCATGTTGGGGTTGAGGGTACTCAGCCAGCGTGGCTGCTGTGCCTTACCATGGCCCTGAGGGAGGCTGTAACCCCAGTTACTCTCAGTGAGTTTTCAGTCTTAGAAAAGTTTGTATGCACTGTAGGAACATGGACAAGAAGCAGTAAGGATTTTTTGGGACAAGGACAGGAGTGATGATTAGGATTCAGAAATGTGAAGAGGGAGGGACATGAACAGTTACAAGGAGAGAGTGATGGTTATAGACAGTGTTTAATAAAGGCTAAATAGAATGGGGAAGGGTCAGAATTTGGATAGGGGTCTGTGAACCCCTAAAAGTTTTATGTACATTTTATGAATATCAGTAAATGTATGCTTTTTCAGGAAGGTAGATCACAACTTCTTTTTTTTGCCATACTTCAGATCAAACCCAAGGCCTTTTTTGCATGTTACACAAACACTGTTGTCATTGAGCTACATTCTCAGCCTCTTTCAATTTCACTACCGAATTCCTTGTATAAAGGACAGATCAGAACTGAGGTTTTGGAGGAATGACAGTGTACCACTGTGCAGTTTGTTTGTCAATTGAAGATTTTGGTTTGGGATTTTTGTTCTTTTGTTTTTTGTTATTTTGAAACAGGGTCTCACTGTATAGTTCTGGCTGGCTTGGAACTTAATATGTAGACTAGGCTGGAGATCCACCTGCCTGTGCCTCCCGAGTGTTGGGATTCAAGGCATGTGCTCCCTCGCCTGGCTTATCGATGAAGAGTGTACATACATATAATAGTAAGGATTTGGGCTGTGTGTCTGTAGAAAGCATCTGAGCACCTGAGATTTTTTTGTTGTTGTTTTTTTTGGGTTTTTTTTTTACCTTTTAGCACCTTGACTCTGTTGCCAGCATAGAATCCTGTCATCCTGTTTGCCCTTTGCATGCCTAACATGGTCTAACAGCCAACAACTCCAACCAAGAGCCTTATAAGCCCTCTGTGGAAGGCACTTAGTTGGTTGTATGAAAGTGTTAAATATCCACCCAGTAGACCATGGGAATGGAAGGCATCACAGACTATACAAACAAAATAGGAATTTTTTTTCTCTTTTTTTTCCTTTTGGCAGTGCTGGATATTGAATCTGGAGCCTTCTACATACTAGCAGGTGCTCTGCCTGCCCCTGAGCTGCATACACACAGTTTCAACAGTTGCTGTCCTTTTTTGTTGTTTGTTTATTGTTTAAGAGGGTTTTTTTTTAAGATAGGTTATATAGCCTAGACTGATCTCAAACTCAAAATCCTCCTGTCTCAGCCTCTCAAGTGCTGGAAATACAGACATGCACCACAGTGCCTGGCAATTTTTTATAATTCCGACTCTTGGTCTTAGACTAACTTAGAAAACAGAATTCTTAGAATGGTGAGTACTTAAGTACTTCCATTTGGACACAGACATATTTTCAAACTTTTAGTGTCTAGTTACTGTATTTTATTTTGTCTTTTTTCTAAGTGAAATCTTTTTCTCTTCTTCTGGTAGTCTCGTCCACCTGTGACCACCTCTAATACAATCCCTCCTGCCGTGGTAGCAACTGTCTCAGCCACCAGAGCTCAGTCTCCTGTCATCACTACAACAGCAGCACATGCCACTGACTCAACACTGAGGTATAGGAGTCATCTTGCTGTGTCTCCTTGCTCTTTCTATTTACTTTCCTTTCTTATTTAACTCAGTAATTAGAATGCTTTTTCTAATTGGTACTCTAGATCAAGGCATCGTAAACTTTTTTTGCTCAGAATCCCTCTCCACCCAAGAAATTTTCACATGACCCTGATTATATAGATATATAAAATACGTATATAAACCAAACATTTGCTGATAATTATGGGCATGCGGGGATCTCGGGGCGCCAGCTGCTAGCTTGGCGCCGGTCTCCTGCGCGCACCTGGGAAGCAGCAGGTCCCGCGGCTTGTCTGCTCCGTGTTGTTGGCGGATCCCTGTTTCTCCGCGTCTCTGTGGGTCTCTGCTACCGGGGCTGGCCCGGTTGAGTTTTGCCCCAATTTCACCCGTGCATTCTCTCTCTAAGTTCGGGACCCACCAGCTGCCGGGTCACGAGGAGAGGTGCGGGACGGCTGAAGCTGGATTTCCGTGAGTCGATGACGGAAGGATAGCACCCCCAGGGGAGGCTGGATGTAGGCAGTAAGACACAGAACTCAGATCAGTCAGTGGTACAGCCCCTTTATTCAGTGACTTAGCTCAGCTCCAAGTCTCGGTGATCCAGCTCCGATTATTGAGGGGAAACCAGGATATTTTATACTATGGGGGTGGTAGTAAAAACCTTAGCTGATAGGTACTCCTGGAATGTTTTATTTACATAGGGCGGTGGGCTTCTATCAGGCTATCAGACAACGCCTGATTAAAACCTGGTAGCTCCTGTGCCGGAGGGCATGTATCTTGTGATGGGCATTACAAAAGTAAGTCAGGGAAGAAAGCAGAAGGCGCCCCGCTGAGAAGGGGAGTCTCCCCATTCGCACCGAGCCAGCTTGTGGCTATCCGGACATGGGGAGACTGCTACCCTAAACAGCAGGGGTCCCCAACAGATAATAAATCATAAAGAAATGTATTTTAAGGATCTAAAGTGATAGCTCAGCAGTTAAGAGTACTTGCTCACACAGAGGACCCACATTCCATTCCCAGCACCCATGTCAAGCACCTCTCAGTCACCTATAACTCCAGTTCCAGGGAATCCAATGCCCTTTTCTTGTCTTTTTGAATACCTACACACTCAGCATGCACACACACACACACACACACATAAAAAATAAATATAACTTGGGGCTGAAGAGATGACTCAGTGGTTAAGAGCACTGGCTGCTCTTGGAGAGGACCTGGTTCAGATCCCAGCGCCCATATGGTAGCTCACAACCACCCATAACTCCAGTTTTATGTAGACCAGGCTGGTCTCAATCTTACAGAGACCCACCCACTTGCCTCTGCCTCCCAAGTGCTGAAATTAAAGGTGTATACCACCACACTTGACCTTGTTTTTTTGGTTTTTTTGAGACAGGATCTCACAGTATCCCTGGCTGGCCTTGAACTGGCTATGTAGACTAGGCTGGCTTAGAACTCACAGAGATCTGCCTGCCTCTGCCTCTTGAGTACTTAGATTAAAGGCATGTGCTACTATACCCAGAAATTCTGGTAGTTCTTTATATTTCTACTTAACACTTTGTTTAATATAATCCCATTTGTCAGTTCTTGAGGTTATCAAACAGCAACTTTGAAAATCAAGCATTCTAGCACAGTACAATTCCAAGAGATACTAATTTGATATTTAAATGCTAAGGAATGAAGATAGGAGAGCATTAAAAAGTCCTTGTTTTCCATAATTAAAGCAATATGTTTCTGTAAGAGCAGAGAACGTCATATGTGTAGTAAGAACACTGCAGTTGATAACATTGTAGTCTTGAATCTGAGCCAGGGTGTTTGAGGCAGTATTTGTTGGCATTACCTGGTATGACCTCATGTGTAGGGCAAAGTGCACATGTTGTGTTTTCAGAACCAAGGCTACAGTGCATCATGGTGGAGGGGGCAAATACTGTTAGAAACCCCTTAGATTCATTATGAGTTTGACTTTGAATTAATTTTTGGTCATTAAATGTTCAGAAATCTTTTACTGTAACCACATTTTTGTGACACCCCTCCCACTATGTATGGAGTTTCAATCCATGTTTTAACAAGCTAGGTTTTAGATAGTATGGATAAAGCAGTAAATACCCAAAAGAAATTATATTTAGGCATTGGAGGTACAATAAATGTATTATTTCGTAGATAATAAAAAGGGTTTTAGAAGTATGTTGAGGGGGATTTGAAGTGGCAGGTAGGTGGCATGGGGCCTTACTCTTTCATAGAAGGTAGTCATGGGGGGTTTTGTTGATAAAAATATACTTGAGAGATGTGATGAAATAAGCTGTACAGTATCAGAGAGGAGAGTATTCTGAGCAACAGCAATAGTTAGTGCAAAGATCCTGAGAAAGGAGCATGCTAACCACATATATGGAGGCAAGTAGTAGGAGAAGGGCAAAAGATTAGGAGGCAGCAGGCTCTGCATATCACCATGTGCCAGCCTTTTAAATCACCCCAAGGGTTTAGCCTACACTGGGTTGGGCAGGGCAGTCTTTTCAGAGCTATCTGATCTCAAGCTGTCATTGGATCGGCATAGCTGCTGATGGAACAAGCTGTGGAGAGATAAACAGGGTTGGAAGCAGAAGGCTCATATAGAAGAGCATAGCCAGAAGCCAGGAGAGGAGTGATGGAGCAAGCAGCATGGTCAGATTCTGGACAGATTTTTGAAGAGGAAGTTGGGAAGATCTGAGGATTTACATGGAGTGGTGAGAAAAGAGGAGTGCCAGGATATGGTAGTATTTTCGGGCCTCTGCACCTCCAGAGTGCAGGTGCATTAACCTGGGATAGAGAACAGGAGTAGGAGTGGTTTGGGAGGAATCTAGATGTGGGACATTTTAAAGTTATGATACTTCTCAGCCCCCAGTGGAGGTATTAAGAGGAATTGATAGATAAGACTGGAGTTCAAGAAAAAAGATCTACAAGAAGCAATCCATGGAAACAGGATAGATGGGAAAGAGCATTATGAGAAAGAAAACGATTCCTGCTAGAGAAGGCTGGAGAGGAGTGCTTTTAGGACTCCTGACTGAAAAGAAAGACAAATTCAGAGAAGAGGTTGAGGATATGTGGTATGTTTCTTCCTGAAGATGAACTGACAGTGCAGGAGGTACAGTGGAATGGTTGCTGTTTGACAAGGGAAGCATATAGAATGAAGAGATGAAGCCAGGTTCTGTGGGTATTATACTCTTGTAACCTCGGCTATTCAAGAGGTTGAGGTATGGGGATTACTTGAGTCCAGGAGTTCAAAACTAGCCTCGGTAACATAATAGATCTGTTTAAAAACAAATTACAGATCCATACAGAGATTAAATCTGGTCGATGATGGAATCATTGCAGAAGCATTTTATGGTGGATTTGGATTTTGTCTTTGAAACTACCACGTAGTTGTTAGTGGGTAGTTGAAGAGATACCTGTGCTAGAAATAATTAAAGGTTATTAACATGTGGGCTATGCCTTGAGTGTATCCAAGATGGATGAAGTGAAAGGATCTAGAACTCCTGAGGAAGATTCAATTGAAATGTGGTACCTAGGACTTCCTTTAACTATTATTTCTGTCCCCTACTAGCTATGTAACTTAGAACAAGTTTCTCAATCTCTCTGATTCTTAGTTCCCTCTACTAAAATACTTTGTGGTAGTTAGATATATTGCCTGAGGGAAAAGAAACACAACTACCCTATGTAGACTACTTGTTGTTTTAATTTTATGTCAACTTTTAGAGGTAATTACATTCATGGGTACACAATAGAGTGTTGTTTTTATTTTTTTATTTATTTTTACTTACGTATATTAGTGTTTCGCCATGTCATGCAAAGCCCAAAGAGGCCAGAAGAAGGTGTCAGATCCCCTGGAAATGGAGTTACAGTTTTTAGCCACCAAGTGGGTGCTGGGAATCAAACCCAGGTCCTCTGGAAGAGCAGACAGTGCCCTTAATTGCTGAACCATCTCTCCAGCCCCTAGAGTGCTATTTTTAAATTGTTATCAAAGTATCTTTTCCCATATGTTACGGAGTACTCGAATTAAAAAAGAAATTGAATTTTGAATTTGCCAAATGCTCTTTGAACATTCACTTGTACAGTTTGTTTTGGTCTTTTTGAGACAGTGTCTCCCTGTAGCCCCTGCTGGCCTGGAACTTACTATGTAGACCAGGCTGGCCTTGATCTCACAGAAACCTGCCTGCCTCTGCCTCCCAAGTGCTGGGACTAAAGGCATGTACCACCACTCCTGGCTCATACAATGTTTCCAATTAAGTGCCCTCTCCATTCCAGATTCTTTGGATTCTGGAGATAGCAAATATAAAAAGACAAATTTCTGTGAAAGAAATAAAAGGGGGGGAAAAAAAAATGAAAGCACTATCTCCCAGAACAGCACCAAGCCTGGGTAGTTTTATCGAATACTCCCAAACTCTGTAAAGACCAAATAAACCAATGTAATGGAATTGATTCAGAGTATACAAAAGTAAAATTCCAGAGACATTTAGGTGTTAAATCATATTTCTTGTGTTAAATATACACAATACTTCTTCCCCATTCTTTGACTGGTTTTAAGTTTCTTTTTTTTTACTTTATTATTTTTATTTTATGTGTATGAGTGTATTACCTGCATGTAAGTAGGCACACCTGTGTTGTGCAGTGTCCGAGGAGGACAGAAAAGGGCATCAGATCCCCTGAAGCTTTTTTCTTTTTTTAATTTTTATTATTTTTATTTTATGTATATGAGTGTATTACCTGCATGTATGTGAGTACACCCATGTCATGAATTGCCGCAGAGGTCAGAAGAGGGCTTTGGATTCCCCTGGAACTGGAGTTAAGGCAGTTCGTAGCCACCATGTGGGTGCTGGGAATCGGACCCCAGTCCTCTGCAAGAGCAGTCAGTGTTCTTAACTGCTGAGCCAGCTCTCCAGCCCAGGAACTATTTTTAATTACACGTATGTGTGTGTCTCTAAGTGCAGATACTATCGGAGGCCAGAATTACAGGATTGCCCAG